ATATCTGTGGTCTGAATTCAAATCCACTTTAAATATTACAGTTTCAAAACAGGTTTGTTTGCTTTTGCTTAAAATTCTGCTATAAATTGCTTAAATAAAGCAATGTATGTGATTTCTCTTGGTAAATTATGCAGGTTATTGTTTTAGAATAATGAACTGCACCCAGATTCTCTTCTGCATATTGTTGCTGCAGCGTAACAATAGTTTACATTTAAATCCTCTATGTGGTACAATAAAATTGGGAGGGAAGATACAATTTTTTGTTAGAAGTATATTTTTTATCTTTGGGGAGAAATGATAGCCACTTTAAAGAATCAATGGGGTTTTTTAATAATGGAGTTTCATTGGAAGATTTTAAGTCTCAAAGCTACCATAGAAATTGAGTTCATCTTTTAAAATATAAAACATTTGCAATTGTGATCCTAAAACTGTTGCTTTTTTAAGCCTAATCAACAGGCTATAAACTTCATGGGGATATATGTAGGCTTTATTGGTTTAGAGTGTTTACATAAGAGATGTCATAAAAGACACATTATAAAAGGATGTTTTTTCATGAGTTTTATGCTAAGGAATATAAGAGAAGTGCAGCATATGTTAAGCATATATTAAGTCTGTGTGGCTTGTGTGTATGTGATTTGAGTTGTATCTGTTGTGATGAAAGAAAGAAGATTTGGATTTCTCCGGAGATAAAGTTTAAAATGGTAACTTAAGGATTATAGTATTTCGCTACCACAGGATTTTTAATGTCATACTTACCAAAAGTGAAAGCAGCATTAGTATTGTTAATGTAATTTTTATTTGTAACATAATTTTTAAAGTTTGTTAGCCTCTTGTCATAGATGAAAGTTTTGATGCTATGAATCTCATCCGTATTTACTGATAATAGGCACTTTAGAAGAGAGGCTTCAAATTTATGAAGAAATTAGTAAGCAACACCCCAGAGCAATTTCACCTAGAAGATTACCTTTGAATCTTGTCCCAGGTAATATTAGGATATCTTTTGTAATACTAATAATTATTTGTTGAAATTACTCGATGTTATTCATATTTTTAAAACTTGTTTCTGGTATAGAGTTTACATCTATACCAATCTTGGGGTTGAGAGTGACCATTTATGAATTTATTATGCATATGTTAATAAGAGTGTTACACTTCAATGTATGGCTAAAATGTTGGTTTTAAGTATTTGAAGTCTATATAAAACTGCTTTTCTTAAGTTGATCTCATAAAGTGGAGAGTAGAATAATAAATACCAGAGGCTGGGAAGGGTGTGTGTGTTGGGGCAGGGTTAGGGGGATGAAGAGAGATTGGTTAATGGTTACAAACATAGATAGAAGGAGTAAGTTCCAATGTTCCATAGCAGAACAGGGTGCCTATAGTTTAAAATAATGTATTATATATTTCAAAACACCTAGAAGTGTGGACTTGAAATGTTCTCAACACATAGAAATGATAATATTCAAGGTAACGGATTCCCCAGATACTCTGACTTGATCATTACGCATTCCATTGCATGTTACAAAATACCACATGTACCCTGTAAATATGTACAAATATTATGTATTAATTGAAAAAAACTGCTTTTCTTATGTGACATTTTTGTAAAAGCACCATTTTTAGAGGTCAAATTAAATTCCTTAGAATTGCTGACAAATTATATGAGGTATTATAATTTAAGTGGTAGAAGTGTGGAAGTTTATATCTTCTATTTAGAGTATAAATTCAAAGAAAATATTGTGGGCTTTTTGTGCCCACCACAGTGTTTAAGATAACATCATCATTTCCTTTGAAGGCCTCTCTCCTCAGAGTTAACCACATTCCTAAGTTTTGCTTTTATTTATAGAACTCCATGTATTTTGTATCCCTAAAAACAAAAACAAACAGCTTATGTAAATTGGAATTCTCTGGTATGCATTCTGTGATTTGCTTTTATTGCACAGGTAGTATATACGTGACCGTGAACCAAGTTATGATATGTAACTGAGCTCATTTACTTTTGGGATGTATAGGAGGTAGAGAGTATATTAGCTCTTCAGATAGTTAACATCTTTGTTGATGATTTTATTAAAAAATTGTGTTTGTGTTTAGTTGTGAGTGCTGTAGTTTATGACTTATTGGGGCTTTTGGCATTTCTTTTTATGTAAGTCAGACTCTAGAAAGCTCATATAAGTTTTAAAATAGTCTGGGGGAGTGGGTGTGGGGTGGAGAGTATTTTCTAATAAATTCTCCCTTACAGTGGAAAATACATGTTTAATTGGGTTGTGATTTTATTTTTATTAAAAGATTCATGAAAATTAAAAATGTTTAGTTGATTCACTTAAAAATATATGAAATACCTCTTAGAAATGTATTGGATTAGACAGCAGATAGAAATTCATTTTCTACTAGTGCATTTCAGTTCCATAGATGATGAGTGATATTCTTCTGATCCTCCCTATTTTGTTTTGGTTTAGTAGAATACTGAAAGCACATTTCCCTAATGTTTTCTGGGGAACATTAAGTCCAAGTGTGGATGAGTTAAACACAGCCATGGGGTTTCTACAGGACTTGTCAGAGCTTTTAATATACTTTCTGTGAATTCCAAGATGGGAGTTTACTGTGTAAGGAGGAGCATTTCTCTAATAAAAATGTTTTGTGGAAGATGCTTAGGCTCACATTTCTATACCTCTTCCTCCTCCTTTTTTTGTTTTTGCTTTTTTTTTTTGGAGACAGGATCTCACTCTGTTGCTCTGACTGGAATGCAGTGGTGTGATCATAGCTCACTGCAACCTCAAACTCCTGGGTGCAAGCAATCCTCCTGCCTCAGCTCCCAAGTAGCTGGGACTCACACCACCATGCCTGCCTAACTCCTCCTCTTTTTTTTTTTTTTAAATAGCTTTCTGAAATATAATTCATATACCATAAAATTTACTGTTTTAAAGTGTGCAATTAAGTGTTTTAGTTTATTCATAGAGTTGTGCGATCATCATCACTATCTGCTTTCAGAAAACTTTCATAACTCCAAAAAGAAACCCCATACCCATTAGCAGCCATGCCCCAACCCCCTTCACCCCCAGGACCCAACAGCCATTAATCTACTTTCTGTACCTATGGATTTGCCTGTTTCTGGACATTTCATATAAATGGAATTATACCATATGTGGCCTTCAGTGTGTTGCGTCTCCTTTTATCAATCTCAAGGTATGTCTTGTGTTTTACAATATGGGTAGGGATATTCTCTTAGGAGCTTTCAAATGCATTCACATGCCTCTTAGGAAACAAAGAAATCTCATTTAGCTTTAAGATTACAAACAAGAGTTATTTCCGTAGTCAGTAAAGTTCGCTAAAAGCTCTCAGTACATGGCAGTGTATAGTAGGAAATAAATTTTTACAGGTGTGATTTAGGTTAAAGTGGAACCATCCTAGACTCTCTGGGACATTCTGTCTTTGAAATGCTAAAAGGACTTTTTTTTACAAGGTAGATCCCAGGTGAGGCGTCTAATGGCTTGGGCTTCAAGGTCAGCATCACCGTGAGGTTCTTTCTTTTTTTCTTTTTCTTTTGTTACTTTCTCTTTCTTCCTTCCCATTCTTCCCTTCCTTTTGATAGGGTCTCACGTCATAGCTCACTGTAACCTCAAACTCTTTGGCTCAGGGGATCCTCCCATGTCAGCTTCCTGAGTAGCTGGGACTACAGGTGCCACCACCACCCCTGGCTACTTTTTAAACATTTTTTGTAGGGAAAGGGTCTCACTAGGTTGCCCAGGCTGGTCTCAAACTTCTGGCCTCAAGCAATCCTCCCCCATCGGGTTCCCAAAGTGCTGGAGTTGCAGGTGTGAGCTACTGTACCCAGCCTCTTTCTGGTTTTTTAATTCTTTTTTGTTGCTTTTATTTTTCTTTCATTTAAATTTTTTTTCTCCTTTAGAACATGATACTTTTGGATCACTGTGAGGTTCTGACATACATGTATTTACAAAGCTCCATTGAATATATATAAAATTATGTAAATACTCAGTTGTATCTGCAAAAGCTCAATGTTTTGTGACTTCTTTTGCCTAGCTAGAAATATTTTTATGTGCAGTAAGAAAGGCATTTTGGCATTATCAAAAGCAATAAGATCTTTTTCAAGAAACGTGATGGAACTTGAGAATGCAAGGTGAAAGTTTTGAAAACAGTTCCAGTGTTTAGATGAAAAGGCTTGATATCTATAGAGCAGTGGTGAAATACACCCTAAAATATTAAGTGTTCTAGAAACAATACAGAGATAAAGCAACTTTTCAAAATAATTAATTGAATTCATCACATTCTATTATTCTTCACTGGCTGAGGGGCGGAGAGAAGGAAGGAGATAATCCAGAGTGTTAAACACAGAATACTATTAATAATTAAATTTTGGGGACATCAGTTTTTATGTGAATCTGTGCGTACATATCTAGGTAAGAATTAAGCACAATACCTATGCAGTCAGGTAACCTGTTTTGTGAATGGTAATGCTAAACAGGCACGTAATAATTGATGATCTTTTTCCCCCTGAAGACAAGACTATGGGGGTACTAAAGAATTAGTACAAAATAAGTAGGAAGAAGGGAGATAATTTGTTTTTCTGTAAAGGTTTTTCTTGTATCTAAAGAAAGAAATTGAGATGTATAAATAATCAGTAATTTGGGAGATATGGTGTGTGACTGAGCAGTTGTTTAGATGATACATTCATACAATTACAAATTAGAAAGGTACAGAAGGGTTTGTAAGTGAAGTCTGTTTCTTGTCTCTGTCCCTGGCTACCAAGTTTACTTGCCTAAATACATCCGTCGTTATCAGTTGACGGTGTATTCTTCCAGAAATATACTGTGCACATACAAGCAAAAATGTGTGTACAGCTTTCCTTTTTTCTCCTCCCTTTTTACATAAGTAGTAGGATGGATTGCTCTGTACCTGGGTTTTCTTTTCACTTAACTATATTTGGAGAACAGTCCTATTTCAGCACATAAAGAACTTCCTCATTCTTTCCATATCTGTGCAATCTCAATAAATCAAATCTGCCAGTATGATCTGAATAGACCAAGAAAGTTGGCCAAGAAGGAGGAGTTCAGAGTAGCTTCTGACATGAAGATAAATGCTTTTTTTCTCTGTGAGTGATTGCGGGTATAGAAAACAGAATCTTAAATGTAGAAATATAATAGTTGTCAGGTATTGGGGAAGATAGTGATAGATACATTTATTGAGCAATTGCTGTATGCCAGACACTGCTTACTGCTATACATTTTTTATAACTTTTGCCTTATACCAGTGCTGGGAAGATTTGATCTCTGAAACTACTCTGATTTTTCAGGAAGTAACGATGTATATTTAACCTAGGATGAAGTATTATGCTGTTTCAGTAATCTGTGATTTTCAAAAGACCAATCCTTTGTATATGATCTAATAAAAAATTAGAGATTATCTGAAAACAATAGTTAATAGAGTTAATTTTTGTGACATCTAATTATATTGAGTACACAATTTTGTTCAATGCAATCACAGCAAATAAAAATAACCACTTTGGGTTGTTAGATTTTGTTATGCAGTGTTGTAGTTCATAAACCTTAGGAAGTCATTTCAGTCATCTCACTTTAGGCTAAATAGTTGATGACATATGTGCATTTTTTTTCCGAAATGATTGGGTAAATCCATGTCCTTATATATTAACCCTTACTGTGAAAAAGTTCATGTCTTTGTATTTAAAATGAAACTTCTTTAAATATTTTCCACTTTCAAAGAGTGGCACCAAAAATGTTTTGTAAAGGTTTATTAATTATAGAGTTATTGATGTTTGTACATAGAGTATTTATTTTCATTCTAATGTTAGAATACTCCGGGCTCAGTCTAATATCTAACATACATGTATTATTTTCAATGTCGGTCTCACTCATAAGAATGTTAAATTCTAAAATTCTATGAGGGCAAGATTTAAAAAATTATTTTTGTTAATCACTGCTCTATCCCCAATACCTAAAACAATAGCTGACATGTAGTAGGTGCTGTATACGTCACCTGGATGTTAAAGTAAATCACAAGTTGATTTGGGAAAGCATTTGTAAACACCAATTTAGTGTTTATAAAAAGATATTTTAGCTACTACTTGAAGACAGTGTTGATTACAGTAGTCTACTGCAGAGTGCTTAATGAGTTGTCTGCAGGGTTTTGAGCTGTGGATAGTAGGACTGAGTCTGTGCTAGTCAGTGAGAGATTAGGAAAGATACTTGCTGTTGTGGCTATATTCAGAATGGATAATAGGTTACTTTTACTCTCTACTTAAAGCTGCACAATCTGTTTGTTTACCTATCTTTTTAAGTATTCCTTCATGACATTTCAAACCTAGATCTAGGGGAAAATATAGTTGCCAACTGAGGTATTTGGTGTATGCTTTCTGGTGGTAAGAAGAAATAACGCAGATTGACGTTTTGGGTGTAAGAATTAGATGGGACATAATTATTTCTGAGGGAGCTTTATTTTTATTTAGAAAATCATTTTAAGAATTGTTTGCATCAATCGAAGTATAACAAAGTACGCTTTTGTTTCTAGGTGAAAAATTTAGAGAACTAATGGATAAGTTCCTGAGGGTTAACTTCAGTAAAGGCTGCCCACCCTTGTTTACTACTTTGAAATCTTTATATTACAATACAGAAAAGGTAAAATTTGGTATTTATTCAGTTTTGCTATAGTCTTTTTACTAACTTAATTATAGAAAGATGCCCATGCAAGTGATATGGTATGATTTAATCATCTCTGTTCTTGTATTGTTATTTACCTTACTTTTAGTATGATAATAGATGTACTGAAATTATATGCCTGTAGTATAAGTAATATCAAAGGAAATCTCAATCTGTGCAATTTACTGAGTAAATGGTTTATAAAAGCAGTAATGTATAAAAGTTGTTTATTTTTAGTGAGTACATTTTCTAGTAGGATTTTAAATTTTTGACATATTTTTACCAGAGGTCTATATTTACTCTATGATTATTATTTTCTAGC